TTTCTTTGCCCTAATTTCTCAACATATTTCATTTAAAAAATAAATAAATAAAAGTACCCTTTTTTATGTGATCTAAAAAATTTACAAAAATTTATTCATGCATAGCACTCTATTCTACTTATCTAACATCTAAACTTCAATTTTTACACATATGCCATCTTGCGTGCCCATGAAAATATAAAATTTATTTTTAAAAAGGTAAACTAGTGATAGTTTTAGTGTGATATGTAATATTTGGGTGGTTTAAATGTAAAAATGATAGTTTAGCCATTAGATGTAAATACATAGGAATTGGGTGGCTTATATGTAAACGACATTTGTAATTAATAGCTACGAAAAAGAAAATTAGAGTGGCTCAATTGATATATCCTTAAACTTTCAGGAACCTAACGTCTTTCATATTTTGAATTTTACAATAATAGGGATTGTTCCTTCAAAGGCATGGTGAAAACATGTAAATGAGAAGAAAAAGAGTCAACTTTTGGCTCATTAGTTAATTTATTTTTTTTAAAAAAAGCTCATATGTTGTAAATAATTTTAAAAATAACTACTATGATTTATCCGTACATAAAAATACACCGCAATTTAGCGGTGATTTATTATTTTAGGATTGTATGAAAATTCAACACACACACAAATATTATTCGCAAACTACGAGTCAGTTTGACATCCTAAATATTAATATATATATAAAAAATATATTATATTAATTATATAACTTATATTATATAATTACATAATATCTATATTAGTATATTACTAATATAGTATATTAATATATTATTATTATTAATTTATTATATATTATTATATTTTAGAAATTTTAATTTTTTAAAATATCATAAAATTTTTATATATAATTATTTAAATTATTTTATATTTCGAATAATAATGATTAACTAACTGAACGAAAAAAAAAATTTATTTGCGTTTGTCTCGTTTATTTATCGAACAAATCGAACACAAGTTCATTGACAAACCGAACACGAACTGTTGGTGAACAACAAGTTTTTTTGACAGCCCTGCCTATTAGGGCGTTATAAATGTAAATAGTAAAGTTTAAGTGTTAGGCTTGTAAATGTATAGGAATTGGGTGGTATGTATGTAAATGTTCATTTTTATTTTAATAAAAAAAGGTTTTTTTTTCTTTTTTTAAGAATGTAGGGAGTCAAAAATGTAAATTTACTTTGTGGAATTAAATTTTGTAATTTTTATAATAATTCCAAAAATTTTAATCACCTAAATTGAATTAAAAATTAGAATTTTTGAATAAGTAAATTAAAGTATTATGCTGTAAAAATGTATTTTTTTTATTTTTTGTGCCAAATTTCGAATAAAGCAAACTTAAATACTCAATATTTTAAAATAAATATAATAATAATTAATAGCGGAAATAATAAATAGTTTATATATATATATATATATATATATATATTTATTTTTTATTTTTTTTTTCTGATTATAAAATGGTTGAAATCATGTATTGAATTATGTCACGACCCTTTAAAATGTTTAATGGGTAAGCAGGAAGCGATGTACAGCATGCAATCGGAGAAATTCAATTTTTTCAACTATTATAATTATTTTTATATGAATAAACTATATTATTTATATATTTAAAAAATTGTAATGATTATAAAATATTTCTCATACAAATTTGCGAAAATGATTATCCAAAATGTAAATTTTTCTTTTATTTTTAGCATGTTAGGATTTTTGGCTTCATTGCCAGTGGAATATGCTAATATGATATAAATTTTGATTTATTATTCATATATTAAACCTTCGAAGATTTGCATAGATAGCACTCAATTCCTATGTATTTACATGTCTAACACGTAGACTTCAATTTTTACATGCACAAATTACTAAGAGATTAGACCAAAAGTTGTAAGCCATATTTTGATATAATGATAGTTTCGTTAAGAATTATATAGTTAATTATGCTTATGATAGGGGTTATTTGTATTTATGATTTTATGAAAGGTGAACCGAGAATGTCGGACCATGATGTTTAGACTAATATGAATTAGGGTAGGCTAAAATGAACGACACATTAGGGTGGGCTAAATTGCTATATATATATATATATATCAACATTCAAGATCATATGGGCCCCAATTTTAAACAATTTATATTAAAATTGAGTGTCCGGAAAAATGAACCTAATAATGCTGAAAGTAACCTAGTTCGAGTCCAAATAAGCCCAAATCAAATACTTTAATTGTTGTCAAATGTTATTATCAGTCACATGAGATCGTGGCCGACCAATGGAGTTCATCTTGACCACTATATGTTGTCATTGACCATTAGAGGTTTTGATCACACTACCACCGTTATTATAGCCTTCCACAAAGATAGCTTCTATAGCCTACTATAGATGTTAACCTCCAACTATGACTTTAGTAGCTTTGGTGTGGTTGTCATTGTCTTCAACTATGACTAATATAATCAACTATAGCTTTTATCTCTAACTACGGTTATTATAACATCACCACGACTGTTATAGTTAGACTATAGTTGTTTGAGTCTTAATTACCCATAAAGCCTTAACACTTATATATGTTTGGTTATTTCAAAGCATTTATGATTTTAATATCATTTGCTAATCTCACTTTCTCTAATCCAGGTGAAGAATATAATTTTTTACTTCTGATTATATAGTGAATTATTGTTATTGGATCATCCTCATAGTTTCTCTTTCCTGTGTTTTTCCACATTAAACAAACAATCTTGTCTCTTCTTTTTACTTTTATTTTATTCTCATGTGATGAATCTTTGTACAATGTTATGATATTAAATTATCACTTAACGGCTCTGAAATTTCTAGCATATATATATATATTATTATCCCTTACAGGACAAAAAACTTACAGGACAAAAAAACATAGCGAAGTAAGATTGAAATCACCGACATAACTATTCTCTTTTTTTAAGGGGGACAAACAGTACTACTAAACTGAATGTGGGAGAGACTAGGATAATGAAAGGACAAAGTGATATTTCAAAATGGGCAAAACTGATATTTCAAAAGGGGCAAAATACAAATTGCTCTTCTATAAATTTTAAAAATATGAATTAAATAGGTGATAAAAATTTAAAATTTATGCTAGTAAAAAAATCTTGAGATGTGAGAGTTGAAAAAACAGTCTTAGTTCTAATGATTTTCTATTGTTTTTCTCTTTTGTTTTTCTTAATTTTTGTACTGCTTGTCATAAAAATAAGATATATTCAAATTTTTCTTATTTCCATGTTAGCAATTTTATCAAAACAAAAAATTGCAATCACCAAAAAAATGAACCTCGTACACATTTCTAATACTAAATTTACACGCAACTCATTATAAAAAATATTAAAAATGCGCACAATTGCTTTTTACTTTGAGTGATGACATAAATAATTTTCTTAATAAGCACAATTCTCAATGCAAGTTTTATAAAAGATCATGCATATTCATATTCAAGATCCTCAAAGCAGGATTTCAGTAAGTTTATATCCAAACAGATTGTCTCGATAAGACGAAACCAATAATTTCAAAATTAGTTCAAGGGGCTCAATCAAGACCAAATCAAGCCTTTGAAACACATTTGAAGGTTTTACTAAATCAAATCATTAAATGAACTCTAAATTTGACATATTTATATTCAAATCGAGCATCTCGAAGAGAAGAATTAATCCAAAGAGCCAAAGATCGCTCAATTCTAAAGTCATTAAAGCATCTAAATTTTTAGGAAACCACCTAGATTCAAAAGGGCTCAACACAAACCGTCAATCAAGTGGTTAATGAAATTAAGCGCCAACGACAAAAACACCTCTCATTAAGAGGTTTTAAATAGATCTCATCATTTCACGTGAAGGAGAGAGAATAAAAAGAATTTTAAAGCATGCTCTAGAGAGAAGACTCGACGATAACCATTAAATCCTATTGTCGACAACTACAATCGACTACTGTCCGTAGACCACCTTCGATCACCGTCAACTGTAGTCGACTCTTGCTTGCAACTTTTGTAGCTCAAATGTGATCGTGGTGCCTAGCATATGTTTTTTTCTTATGTTGTACGACGATAAGTGCAATTTTCCGTGCAAATTTATAACTTTGTTCAATCCCTCAATTGAGAGATAAGGTGGCACTCTTATACATACAAATTTATATTAGATTATTTTAAGTATGATAGACCCCATCGTTTATTCCTATCTAGATTTGTTTTCATTTAAAAATCTCGATGTTTTCTCTTTTTTTATCTTCGATGTATTTGACCTTCGTGTAAAACTAAGAAGTTAAATAATTACTTTATTACCACTAAATTTTCGGCACTAAAGAGAAAAAAAATATTACTCCAAAATGATGGACAAAAAATAATTGAGATTATAGCCACAAAAGCAAATAATTTGACAAACAATACACTTACTTCTCATATAGGTTAAATAGAATGTTCTTGTTGAATCCAAATGTGTCTGATTAGTCATACCCAAAGAATATAGCGTAAGACAAAGGGAATAAAAACTTGAGAGAGAAAGAGAGAGAGAGAGCCTTTGCCACCACGGGCGAATTAGGGTGGTCTATGGGCTCGGAGGTCCATTTTATTCCACAAAGCACAATGCTACAAGTGGGAGGAAGCCAAAAGCCCATTTTACAAGAAAGGGTCCTTTTATTTATAGATGATACGAGGGTCAAAAAGTATATTGCAATATTACCTTTGCTTTTAAAGGGTGGTACTGTATATTTTAATCTTTTGTATTCATGAACGTCCTCCGTTGGGGAGAGGGGGGGGGAATGAGGTGACCGAGGGTGAGAACTTGTTCGGTCTATTGAAGTAAGTTGAGTTGATCGACTATTGAATTGTCTCGAGATCCAAGCAGACCATTTTGACTATACAATTTCAAATTTAAACTATACTCATTATTATTTAAAATACTTTTGTGGCCATCAATTATTTAAATTTATATTTTACTTTTGGCCTTTCCAATAAAAAAAAAAGTTGGCTTAGCCCTCAAAGAATATGAGGCTTTGCAGCACTCTGGCCATTCCCACTATAAAAAGCCCTCTCCCTGCAACATCTCTCCTTCCATTAATTAAGACGAGCAGCAGTGCGGAGAAATTAAGAAAACTGCACAGAGAAGAAGAGATGGTGAGAGCTCCGTGTTGTGATGAGATGGGCTTGAAGAAGGGGCCATGGATGCCCGAAGAAGACAGAATTTTGGTATCTTATATACAGAGATACGGCCATGGAAATTGGAGAGCACTTCCTAAGCTAGCAGGTCATTAATGGCAGCAAATTTTCTCTAAAAAATTTTACATATATATCTTCTCAGTTTATGGCTATAGATGGCATTAATGCATTATTAATTTATCTGAAGATTTTTTTTTTTTTTTTTGCAGGTTTTTCAAGATGTGGAAAAAGCTGCAGGCTAGGGGGCAATCACTACAAGCTTGAACAAAGTTTAAGTTAATTAAATTTTATTTTTATGTTAGTTTCACACGTAAAAATATTTTAATTTAATTGTCTATTCTTGTGGCAAAATATCTATCATTTATATAATATCCACTAACCAAACTTTTGCAATGATATTTTGTAAGCTGTTAAAAATTAGTTTGGGCATTTTCAAATACAGGAAAAAAAGACTAACTTACACCCATAAAAATATTAAAATAAAAAACCTTTTTTTGACTTTGTTTTCTGATTTGACTTGATATAAATAAATTACTTTAGTCAAAAATAAAACCTCAAAAAAACGCTGGAAAAAAGTCCTTTTTTTTTGTCACCATCAACCCATCCTTGCTGTGTTGGGCTGCAATTTTAATTTATGTTAAATAAAATTAATTAAATTGAGAAAATATTACGCCGATCCTTCAAAGGTTTCTTCTTTTCTCACGGTGTGTCCGGACTACGAACGTAATATTTTATCTATTAAATCCAATAATATGTGCGGCGATAAGAAGAAATCTTTAAATTCATCTCACAATCTGATGTATTGAATCCTTACTCGAATGAATTTAATTAAACGAAACGTTAGATTTAATTTTTATATTTTTGATATTTAATTGAATATGCTCTATCTTTTTTCAGATGGTCTGCAATAGCTGCCAAGTTGCCAGGAAGAACAGATAATGAGATCAAGAACGTGTGGCACAGTCACTTGAAGAAACGTTTAAATCCTAATCAATCCATGAAGGACTCCAAGCGAAGAAACAGAAACAACTCCATGATGGAAGACATGAAGCTGCAGAAATATGCAGAAGAGCCAGGTTGCTCCACAGAAGACTCCATGGATTTCCTCCGACACCTTCCAGAAATTGGTGAAATTTTAACATCCGAAGCGCAGACAGAAAGCAACAGCTGGGCCGGAGAGGAAGAAGAAGAGGAATCTGCAGTCAAAAATTTCGATTTATTGAGATCGTCAAACGAAGATGACATCAGGTTTTGGATGAGTTTGTTAGCAGAAGCTGGGAATTTGGAATGCTTCAAGTAGATGTATGTGTATATAATTCCTCTTTCTCAGTAACACACACACACACACACACACGCACACACGCACACACATATATATGCATGAGAAATTACAAGCTGATGGGGGCAGATTATTCTTTCTTGTGCTGATTTTGTTCTTTGTGTATGATTTTTATTATTGTTTTTTAGTGGTGGCATTGTAATCTAGACACAAGGAATTAAAGGAGATGAAGGAAGAAAAGTACAAATTAAAGAGCAATAATACTAATATTTTGGTGAGCTTATTGGGCTAATAATTTTTAATCGATGACTGACGTGAACTTTGTCTGGTGGATCATAAGCTACAAGTTTATAGAAGCGAAAGGAAACGAGGTGGTTTTTGTCCATATGGTCCTATTAGACTATTTCTATGAAGTAATATACTCTGCTGGCTGAATGGTTCCTTCTATGTAAGTATCCTTGGCTGCGTAGTATGGCGTTGAATCTACATTAATTCTTGCCAGTGTATGAATTGGACAGAAATATATATATATATATATATAAAAATATATTGTTGAGAAATTAGGGCGAAAAAAAAAACATGAATCGACGCAAATCCAGAAGAGCACACAGAGATTTACGAGGTTCGGCAAAGATGCCTACATCATCGGGAGCAGACCAGCGACTTCCTTTCAATATTCAGAAAAGAGTATATAATACATGATTCAGAATCTCGGAGTCTCAGAGACTCACATAGGATTACAAACATAACATATATATAACCCTATAGTAAAATATGTAATTACTTAAATTACACATGTACCAAATCGTGGGGTGTTGCTCCCGCATCCCAACACACATAATGAAACTCCCCCGATTTGACAGATCATTCCGCTCCACTCCGCTCGTGGGCACAGCTTCGCTCCAGCAACTGTCTCATTTATGATATATGAGTCATATCTATCATTACCAACAAATGTATAATTGTTTTGGCTTAAACGGTGAGTTGAAAGGAAATGCCTAAAAATTGCAAAAACTATTAAGAAAGTATAACTTTCAATCAATAGCTAGCAAAGCTGTCTGCTTGTCAAAACAGGCCTTTATAGGCTGTATAATTCATAACAAACAGAAAGAATAAAAATAAAAGAGTCAGAAATATTAGAAAATAGAAACTTCCAACAGACGCCCTGCACATTCCTTGCTCATGACTCGGTTATTTTCTCATTTTGTGAGAATCATGACAGAATAATTTATTAATATGAAGTTGAGATTGTAGGTGTCGACCAAAATGGCTTTGAGAAATATTTATTACAAATAAGTGCAGAATCCATAAAATAATTACAAATGAGGTGTGTGAGTGTGAGAGAGGGAACAAGTGCGTGTGCGTCTATCTGTACAAGTGGCAGATTCTGATTTAACTTATGGTGTAATAATTTTTTATGTGAGAGAGAAAGTGCGTGTGTTTTGCGACTTTTACATAAATAAAGAAATTGCTCTAGGAGTGCATTGTTGATTGGTTGAAAATATTAAGTTTTATTATTAGTAAAATCTTATGATTGTTATTCTGATTGCCTTCTAAGAGTTCAATTAATAGAATTTTTCAGAGAAACTCCCACTTTCAAAAGTATGCAAAAGCTTTGTTTAAAATTCTGTCAGCCACGCATATTTTGTCCAGTTGGTTGGCATCTTTAGTCTAAGACCCCTCGGGTGGAGGGGTTCGAATCCAACTCTGTCAACGTGAGCCTTAAGTAGAGTGACACTCGAATTATTAGGCACATTAAGAATGGTTGGAAGCTTATATAATATCATCTCACCATTTCTAACAAAAAAAAAGTCTATTTTTAACTTTATTTTTTTAATGGGGGCATTTTCATACATACCACCCAAGTCTTACGTAGTTACATATATAACTCATGAACTTCACTTTCTTACAATTATACCAACCAAATATTCCATAACCAATTAAAAATAACACTTAATACCATTAATTATATTTCATATCCATTTCAACGTAATGGTGCTTCATATCCAGTTCATTAATTAAAGCAGACGAAAATCAAAGAGCGCAACGAAGGAAGGTTCAAGGGAAAAATTAAAACAGAGACGCTTTGTTATAACAAGCTGAGCTGCGAAGCATCGTTAAGTTGTCTTCTTCGGCTATTCAGCAGTTTGTCGAAGAAGTCTGTTTCAACCCAACTGCAAAAAGCTTTAACTGATTGAAACTCTCTTCTATTCTCACTCATTTACTTCTTTGTATTTATATCCCCCCAAATCTTTCATATTACATAAAAAATACTCCTATTTTTTACTTTTAAAAAATGAAATACACATTTTCATGCATATATAAGATGACATATATACAAATATGTATATATATATATATGTGTGTGTGTGTGTGTGTGTGTGTGTGTAAAAATTAAGTTTAGGAGTTATGTAAATATATAAATGTTCCAAATATGAAAACCGGTCAACTGCTCAAATTGTCATTTTTTCATGTTTGACAATAAATTTGATTTCATACTCGAAATTAATTGTTTTTAATTCCTTCTATGATTTGCTACAGATAAGAAAAGAAAATAATTAATAGATTTCATTAACTATTTGATTAATTTCTTAATGGGTATAATGATATGATGAAATTAATAAATAGGTATGCTAGCTCCCCTTGCTATCCCTCTTCGGCATTGGTAGCTTTACAGGTTCTTCTTTCGAGAGGAGAGAGAGAGAGGAGAGAGAGAGAGATTGTTATTTCCTGTAATCGTCGAGACGATCGACGGGTGTAATACTCAAGCTAATAAAATTCTCTGCAGCTACGTGGACGTAAGCAATTTGTCGAATCATGTAAATCGTCACTGCTCAAATTGTCATTTTTTCATGTTTGACAACAAATTTGATTTGATACTCGAAATTAATTGTTTTTAATTCCTTCTATGATTTGCTGCAGATAAGAAAAGAAAATAATTAATAGATTTCATTAACTATTTGATTAATTTCTTAATGGGTATAATGATATGATGAAATTAATAAATAGGTATGCTAGCTCCCCTTGCTATCCCTCTTCGGCATTGGTAGCTTTACAGGTTCTTCTTCCCGAGAGGGGAGAGAGAGAGAGAGAGAGAGAGAGAGATTGTTATTTCTTGTAATCGTCGAGACGATCGACGGGTGTGATACTCAAGCTAATAAAATTCTCTGCAGCTATGTGGACGTAAGCAATTTGTCGAATCATGTAAATCGTGTGTTTGCGCTGTGTTTTCTGTTTTGTGATTTTTCTCGACCAGATTTTTCATTTTATTGCCATTGTTTTTTCACAACACTAAATACATATGAAGGAACTTAGTGGGTGTTTTCGAATATCTACCTTTTTAAAAAAATAACAACTTACTCTCAATAATATTTAAAACAATTAAAATTATTAATTTTAAGTGTTTTAAAAAAATATTTAATTTATTTTCAACATAACATACAAAAATAATTTGCTGCAAATCAAAACATAAATAAAGTAAAACAACAAATAAAAGTGATTGAATTTACACATTTAATTAATAATCGAACAATGGGCGTTGATAGAGTATATATAGCAGGGGAGAGATTCCTCGCAGGTGCTCGCGAGAGGTTAAAAACTAGACAACATTAAAGAAAATAACAGTGAGGCCAATAGAGGTCAAATAAACAGTTGATTTCATGTACAAAACTAGAGCTTAACGGAGACTTCAAAACAAAGAGCTTTGGAGCATTTGTGCTCCATGCATGGGCGGCGGTTATAAATTATAATCAAAGGGATGCATTGACATCTAAATATTTAATGTTCTTTATAATATAATAACAATGATAGTAACTGTTGCCTTCAAGATTTTTTAACGTCTTGAAAAGTTTTGATGAGAGTTACACTATCTTATAGTTGTAAGCTTAAGGAAAATATAGTATTAAAGACAATAAAAGCCGTATTAGGACTATAATAGTTGCAAGCAAGAGTTGATGATAGTCGGTGGTTAGCAGTGGCAGATGTTTATGGCCGATGGTGGTTGACATTGGTCAGCGTGTACGGAGGCTGGTGGTTACTCACTAGTCCACCTTTGTCGTGCAAAACCCGTCACCTAGTTGCATCACACCGGCCAAACCTCCCCTTGTCATGCAAAGGACCTCGCCAGGAAGCTGATTTGACGGGAGACCGCTTCGCCGGCCTACGGCATCCCCGGTCGTCGACCTCACCGGCCATCCGCTCTGCACCTGTCCGAAACTTGGGAGAAAATCTGAGATGCAAGGTTCAGAAGCTGCAATCTGCAGCTTTTATTTTGTCTAAAACAACCGCACGAACTAAGATTAAAACAAGGAAGAATTACATAGCTACCGCCCAACTTATATATTCACATCCATACCACTTAATTCATATGCAGATTTACGTACTTACCACTCAATTTATATGCAGATTTAAGTAGTTGCAACTCAATTTATATACAGATTTACATATCTAACACTCTGTTTATATGTGGATTTGCCTATATACCACTTAATTCTTATTTGTTTATGCTCACATATCACTAAATTATTTTGTGATCCTGCAGCCTCCCGTCCGGCCAGAACCACTCCTAAGACGACTGCTGCTCCAGTTGTCTCTGTTCGACCACCAACTTTCAGTCAATCATCTGCTCCTGATCAATCTGCCATCTGCCCCTCAGCAACCTTCTTTAATTGGATAAGATTTACACACATCACCCATTCTCTTTGTTTCTATACATCTAACACCTGAAATTTAGTCTTATTTGTTTCCGCAAACATTCTTAAAAAAAGAAAGATATACATACATATAGCTCAATTCTTACATATTCATATGCATGGCACGTTTCTACAAACATCAATTTTTACCAATACTCGGAAAACTCAAATATGGAAAGTATAACTAATTGATCACTCGACAACAACAAGATTCGTGAGAGGTGCAAAAAAAAAAAAAAAATAGAAATCTAACACCCGACAACAAGAAGATCCGTGAGGGGTGCAAAATAATGTAACCGCTGACGGCGATAAGCCACCAGCTCCGCAATGGGTGCAAAAAAATCTAACACCCGGGCAGCGACAAACTCTGTGAGGGGTGCAAAAGAAAAAAAAATCCTAACACCCATCAGCAACAAGTTCTGCGAGAGAGTCAAAAAAATCCAACATCCAACAGCAACAAGCTCCGAGAGAGGTGCAAAAAAAAAAAATCTAACACCCGACAATGACAATTTTTATGAGCGGTGCAAAAAAAAAAAAAAAAAAATAAAACACCAAAAGGGCAAGCTCCGCAAGGGGTGCAAAAAAAAATCTAACACACAACAACGACAAACTCTACGAGAGGTGCAAAAAAATCTAACACCCGACAGCAATAAATTTTAAGACTCCACTTCGGGTGAACAACTTTAAGATTCCACTTTTGGGCAAACAGCTTCATGACTCTGACGGAAGACATTTCCATCCGAACGAATGATGGCGACAAAGGACTTTTCCCTCGGAACGACTGCCAGCACAAAATACTAAAATATCATGTATTAACTTTTTAAAACAAGGGTAATATTGTAATCTATTTGTTGGCCCTCCTATTATCTATAAATAGGAGGGTCTTCTCATGTAAAGAGTTTTTTGAACTCCCCTCAATTGTGTTTTTTTTTTTTAATGGAATAAAATGAGTTCACAAGTCTGTGAACACTCTGATTCGCTCCGAAGGGGCAAGACTTCCTATTCTTCTCTTACTCTCTCCCACAATCTTCTTCCCCCAGCTTCATGATCTATTCATTGGGTAAGGTCTATTGGATATATTTGAATTCAACGGTTCTAAAAAATCGAGTAATTACATTATTAAAATTTATTAGTAATTTTATCTGTTTATAATTAATGAATTTTTTTTCATTTTTATGTTTGACCTCAAAAAACAAAATTTAGTAATTTCTAAATAAATCAAACAAATACATGATTATTTAACGGTTTATTGGGTTTGAATCATTATGAGTGTTTGACATCTAATATTTATCTACTTAAACCTTTTTAATTTATTTGTAGCAAAATAAAAGGTAAAAAAAATGAAAATTTAAATACTTAAATTCCCTTGTTATCCATACTTTAAAATTATTTGAATTGAGCAAACTTTAGATCTTATGCCACATCCATCTCATCACTCATGTTGATAGACATCTAATCCATATCCAAATGGGCTCAAATTAAGCATATTATGGGTTTATTTGGGACTGCTTTGTTTTTTCTTAAAATTTTTATGATAGAAATCATTTTTTTTTTTCAACCGTACATGTTAAAATGCGGCAGCTAATTCAGCTTTGTTTTTTCTTAAAATTATTATGATAGAAACCATTGTTTTTTTCAACCGTACATGTTAAAATGCGGCAGCTACAAAAAACTACTGCATGACTTTTTGAAATTAATCGCGGTATCTCCTTATGCTACTTTCAAATTATATGTGTATTGAATCATTGTACAGTGTTGAAATATTAAATTATCACTCTACCAATGTGAATCTTTCAGCACGTAACAATAATATTGTGCATACATTAAATAGTCCAATCAAATCACAAAAGTATAACTACAACATGTTCACAAGTATTTATATAAATTTATAAATTTGTAGCAGTATTTAAGTTTAACATATCAATATAGCACGAAAATAATAACCACTATAAATAAGAGAAATAATTAAAAAAATCCATGCAGCAATAAAACAAAACTAATTATTCAAGAATTTTATTATGAATAAGGAATAAAATCTAATGTAAATATACTATTAGAGTTTGAAGAATAAACCTAGCAAACATACAAGTAGCTCAGAACTTAATATAAATATTAATAATAAAGCTGTAACAATGAATGATGTATTTATCTTATAATAAATAACAGTTACTTACCTGCACCAAATAGTGAAATACTCTCACTTTACGTTGAGATCCATTAAGTGGCACTAAGTAGGTGCTCTACAATTGAAATTACAATATTTATGAGTTTTTTTTGTTAATTTATTATCTATAAGTTATTATAAATATATGATTTTAATTAATATTAACCATAACTTAATATTTTATTATGTTGAGCTATCAAAAATTAAGATATTTTTACGTATCAATCATCCTAAATATTTAATATAATATTTTAACCACTCAAAATTTAAATATAACATTTAATGTAGCAAAACCTTAAATATAACATTTTAATCACCCAAAAGCAATGCTAAATGGTTCATTAGAGCTTAAAGTGTTATATTTAAAATTTAAATAGTTAAAATATTATATTAATTATTTTAGATATTTGTTATATAAAAAATTTTATTATAATTATGGCAGAAAAAAAAATATTATACCTCGTGAAAAAAAAAAATTGCAAATGGGACATTCGGCGGCGAGGAGACGACCAGAAGAGAAGTTCGGTCCAAGCAGAACTTCAAAGAGCCTCAAATGGGCGAAAGAATAGAGAGAGGTAGAGGGAGAGCTGTACAGGGATCGGCGGCTTCTGCATAGTAAAGTTGCGACACCCTAGCTCTCTCTTGTTCTTAATTTCAGGAGGAAGGCGGCACTGAAGCGAGCTCTCTGATTTTGCCGAATTCTTTTAATTCCAGTTTAATGGGATATTTCCGATCGATATTTGGGTTACTGGTAGTGTTATTGGCGTTGACTAGCGTAGGCAAGAGTTCCGCAAGAAGCGAGGAGGCATATGTGACCTTACTATATGGAGATGAGTTCGTTCTGGGAGTTAGGGTGCTTGGGAAGTCGATTCGTGATACTGGATCGTCCAAGGATATGGTGGTTCTGGCATCCGATGGTGTCTCCGATTATGCTAAGAAGCTGCTTCAGGTTTGATTCTGTTTTATCTGCTGATTCCTTTTTAGTAGGATCATATGAGATGTAATCGGAAGTTTTTTTCACCTTATTCTGTAGTTTTTTTCGCTTATGTTATTGTTTGTATGTACTTATATGACCTGGCGATGATATATCTACTGTTTGTTAAGCAATCAAATTTGGATCCATAATGTTTCCGGTGAAAAAAAGGACTTGTGATTTTACATGTCGGAGTGGGGGGATTTATAATGGAGTTCGAGTACTAATTCGGCTCATCTTTTTCTTCCTGTTCATGTGAGCAATAAATGAAGCAGGCAAATAGATTTCATGCTTCCACAGATAGGTGAATGTAAAAGAAGTTGGCATAAGAATCGCTTATCCTGGCGATCTTACCATAAGATATGGCATTCAAAATTCCGCTTGTTGTCATTTTTGTTGATCCGTTAGGATTTTTTGTTCTATTTAGGGCTGTCAAAAAAGCTTTCTGTGTTCAGTTCAATTTCAATAATTAGTTTACTAGTTATTCTAAGCTCATAATTAAAGAGCTAAACACGAAAAATGCTTTTTTTTATCAGGTTCAACTTGATAATTATGTGTATAAAAAAACTACATAAAAATGTATACAACTATGCACGCATTGATATTTATATGTCTGTATACATGTATTTATATAGATTGCAAATATTCATATCATGCATTAATATATGTATAGATATATGTACACACGCATCGAAGCATGTGTATTCTATAATTTATATATGTCTTTTAAGTAGGATTTATGTTTGCGAGCAATTTGTATTTGGCTTGATAAGTTAGCAAGTCGAACACAAACAACCAAAGCTGTAATTTAATCAACGCACTCAATAAACAACTTAACTCAGTTCGATTAATACTCGTTTAATTTAGTAGTTGAAAAAATTTGAACTTCATTCAAAATTTTGATAGTTAAATGAACTAAGCTTGAATACATTCTAATTTATTTGTTTTTATTCATGAATAAGCTTTTTTGCTAACAAGTAACCTGTTAAATATTTAAGACTAAGTTCGATGATAGCTTGCATAGTATTTAATTAAAATCTAGTTAAATATAATTAATTTAAAACAATTATTTAATAATAATATATTATATTTATTTATTATACAATGGTAATTTATTAATTTTTTCCATTATTTATACAATTTCATCTCTCGTTCCATGCTTCTGAGTTTTGTTGTTTTATGCCACCCTAATCATCCACTTGTTTGAGCAAGGGTCATCTGTTATCATAACTCATAGGAAATGAGCAAATCTTTTATTATTCTCATTCTCTGACCTCGTGTGGTTGACATGTTAACAAGGTTTTTATGAGCACATCATCTTAGCTTTTAAGGGGAAGAGGCCTGGAGGAGTTTGGGATTGGTAAGGACTTTAAATTCTACAACCGTAGAGATGGTGTAGACATGTTTCCATTAAATGTTTTTTATCCTGATAAGATTTATGGTTATTTTTTAGTATTCTAATTTATTTCAAAAAATATATATTTTTATATCAGTGAATCTATACATTGATGTAATGAAATCACTTTTTATATCTCTATTTTAATGATTGATTTTTTTGTTGTTTGTTTATATTGCATGATTGCAAGAATGTTTATTTGTAACTTATCAATTATCTTGTTTAATTGTTGCTTTTTAAAATTGGTGTCCACTAATTAGATGATGGTTCTAGATTTATTTATTTGCTTATTCATTTAGGGTGCGTTTAGGGAGACGATGTGGTGTTACACCACAGTTTTTCTTGTTTGACAAAATTAAATTATGTCTGTGTTTTCTAAAAGTTGCGCTTTCTCATCAGACCTGGTTACCTGGTTACCTACTTACCTGTTGTGGCTGCTAGAAAGTTGCAGTCAGACTTTTTAAAAAAAAAAAATTAATAAACATTGTAGTTTTTTGAATATTATTTTTTTTTTTTTTCAGTAGCTTCAGAGCTGTTTCTTCGAACAACCGCTTCACTTATTCATTTAGGGTGCGTTTAGGGAGACGGTGTGGTGTCACACCACAGTTTTTCTTGTTTGACAAAATTAAATTTTGTCTGCGTTTTCTAAATGTTGCGCTTTCTCATCAGACCTGGTTACCTACTTACCTGCTGTGGCCGCTAGAAAGTTGCAGTCAGACTTTTTAAAAAAAAAATTTAAATAGACACTGTAGTTTTTTGAATATTAGTTTTTTTTTCAGTAGCTTCAGAGCTGTTTCTTCAAACAACCGCTTCTTCAAACAGCTACAGCTGCAGCTACCCCAAACATACCGTTAGTTTAATAGAATTATGTGACCATATAATAAACCAAGTATTTTTCATATTTTGAGCTTGTTTATTAGCTCATTTCAACACTCATTCATTTAATTAAGGCAAGTTAAGTACAACCCTGATTTAATTGTTAAAAAAATTAAACTGTTTATATATATATATATATTAGAGAGAGAGATATATATAGATAGACACACACACACACACTAGCTTGGACAAAGAGTTTTTTACAAACTCTGAACAGCCGATTGACCGAAATCTTATCTATTCAGACTTTCCATTGCACGAGACACTTCATTTTAGATTACCCAAGATATATCTATGCTGACTCGTCTGTGTCTCAGATGGTGTACAGTCACCCACACTTTTCTTCTCAAATGGGCAGAGGTGACCAGAGCCAGACTGCTTTGTTAGGACGGAACACTATACGAGCAAAAGTCATACAACACGCACTAAAGCAAGACCATCTTTCCTCAAAAACACTTAATGCAAAAGTGAAAGAAAAAATGAAAAAATTCTAAACCGTTGTACGGCGAGTTAACCCTTTCTTTTAGGGAGCTTCACTTATTCTCAGAGGAATGGGTTTGTATATCTTTCCTAATTACTCTTCGGAGTGGTATTGAATGAGGTTTCATCGGGATAGAAAGATGTTCATAGCTTCAACCTCCCCACCCCCCGGGGCGACACTATCTGTTTCATGTACCTACGATCCTGGGTGGAGAGTCCGGCTAAGGTTGGGCAGCTTAATCACATCTATACAAGAAGTAAATTTTAGCTTGCTTTCTTAACTAGTTAAGTCAAACAAGACTTGAAATTGCTCAAGCTTAGCTTGTCTGAATCCCTAGTTCCATTATTTTCATGAACCTACTAGTCAATTTATAATGCCTAGATACCTCCCCTTTGCCCCTATACCATTATTTCTTTGGTTGGTCAAATTTGCTCTTTATAAACTATCATGACAAGAACTCAACTTTTTTATTTGTATATTGTTTAGTTCATTCTGTGTCTCTATGATTTTGTTGCATCATATGTAGAATAAGACCATGGGTACCAAGCATGATGCTAGATACTTCATGCGAGTGGAGTATCGACATTAATATATTATGTGGATATAGATACAATGTATTTCAAGCTTGGGGAATACCATAATTTTTTTAAAATGTGCAGACATAATTCATTGCAATTACACTACACGATAAACTTTTTTATGTATGCATGTGTATGCACACTGGACATACACACATGCGTCCACATATTCGAATTTAGACAAAAACAAATATTGTCATAGATTCTTTCTTTGTAGGATAAACATCGGGGTGATGTTGGTTGATAGCCATTAAGCTAATGCCAAAAGTACTTAAAATGAATTAATTTTTGAATTGGGCATTCCCCATAAGCAACTTATCACAATAAAAGTTTGACATACAAAACTTTAATCGAAACACAATCAACATTCTTTGTGCATAAATGCCATTAATGACAGTTTTTTCTTACTTTAACTTTTATCTATTTGCTTTAGAAAGCGGATTAATTTTTGTTTGATTTGAATATTGACTGTAAACTTCAGCAACAAAATGTACCACCCACTTGTTACTAGTTGTTCTCATAAATTTGTTTTATATGGTCATAACAAGCAATTTTAATCTCATGCTGATTTTTTTCTTTTCAGACAATTGAGATGATTTCCCATACAGAGTAAATGCTAGAAAAATGAAGAACTTATGTGTAATTTAAATATTAAATAGTTATGCTGTTAAGTCTTTTAGGTTGATGGCTGGAAAGTGGAACTTATTAGCCTTCTGACAAATCCAAATCAAGTCAGGCCTAAAAGGTTCTGGGGAGTTTACACCAAATTGAAAATTTTTAATATGACCACGTATAAGAAAGGTAATTGATTTTAACATAATATGACAATTTCTTACAATAATTTGCAGTTATTTTTATTTATTTGGCTGGACTTCTAAGCTTTTTGAGCTACTGAAACTACCTTCGTTTCTTTCAGTTGTTTATCTTGATGCGGATACAATTGTTGTCAAGAACATAGATGATCTTTTCCAGTGTAGGGGATTTTGTGCAAACTTGAAGCATTCTGAGAGGTTGAATTCTGGAGTAATGGTTGTAGAGCCATCAGATTCTCTTTTCAAAGATATGATGAGCAAAGTGAATTCTTTGCCTTCTTATACAGGAGGTCTCTTTTTCTCTGACTTATTGTGTATTCTGAGTCGTTTAATTTTTTTTAATTTGCTATTTTTATCTTATTCTCTGAACTAATAACAAGGAAATTTCAAAGAAGCTAATATCTTGACGATGCCACATTTACTATCATTATTACTGAACTCCTAAACTCTATAATTTCATGCTTAGATGTTCTCTGGAGGTTTTGTAGAAGTCAAAAGTTTTAAAAATAACCATAACATTTCAACTATTTATCTTGTTCTTATTCTGATTATTTGCACTGCTTAAGGCTTTATGTACCTGGATTTTATTTCAAGCTCATGAGTTGTGAATCGAATTGATTTTGTACATGGAATGCTGAGAAACTTAAAAGCTTAATTACATTTAACTCTGTTTTTCTTTTCTATCTTTATTCTTATCATTCTTCTAACTTTTGAATTCCATGCAGGTGATCAGGGTTTTCTTAATTCTTTCTATGGTGATTTTGCTAATGCCCACCTCTTTGAGCCAAATTTACCTGATGATTTGAGGAAGAGTAGACCAGCTCCTGAGATGGAGCGATTGTCTACTCTTTATAATGCTGATGTTGGACTTTACATGCTTGCCAATAAGGTAATGGGGGCAGTTTTGAAAATGCGATTAAGTTTAGAAGAATCTTTTCATGCTATCTTTATATTGTAATAAATTATTCCGTTGTACATGAAATACCATTATACAAATTATTATTTTTTGTGATGCAAGTTATGGAAAACATTTTAGATATGTAATTCTTGTTTGATTTTCCTTTGCATCACTCCAGTAGTGACTAGTTCTTTAGATTATAAGGATGAAGTGAGACGTCCACCCTCCACTCTTTTGGTAAGAGAAATAGAGTTCCTGGTATTACTGTGCAAAAAGGAACCTTGACATCGAAGTATTATGTCATAAACTTCAGATTGAAAGCAGGTGTTTCTAAAAGAATAAAGGAATGGAATTACATAAAATTGCTAGAACCCGTTTTATGTCATCAATCAAACTAGATATTGATGTTATTTTTAGAATGTGGGATCATTTTTGTCTCTACCTTCATATGAGTACAAAGATCATCACTATCAATTTAGAAACATTGCATAAAAAAAGTTAGCGAAGACGAAAGTTCCTCAACCTGCTCTTCTCATGTTCAATTTCTCCTCCATATGCAAACACTGCATAAAAAATGTTTTACTTTCTCATCTCTCTCATCGATTTATCCTCCACACACAAACATTACAACATCTCTCAAGCTTTTGTCTCTTTCTTTGATTTCTTCTCGACATGCGAGTAGAATAGATCTTACCAATCTCTGGCTTTTCTCCTCATAAGTAGAATTTATCAATTTTTTTTTTTTTGACATTATTTATTTTGTTAGTTAATATGCAGTTTTGATTTGTTTAATTTAAATTTAGCAAAGGGCATTATCATGTTAGGTTTAATTACTCTATCCTTCCTAGTATTTATTTGTATTTGTAATGATGAATTTTCCTCAAGGGGTTACCTTGCAACTTATAGTCATATGCATTATTTTCTTTATAATTCTAGAATGTCAGCAAGTGTTCATTTTGTAATTAGATGTTTGTTTTTTCTCTCTCCACCGCTAACTTTTATTTTGAGTCTTTTCAGATCTGGTCAAACAAGAGACGTGACTTATTATTATCGAAAGCAAATCTAATTATTATTACTTTTATTTTTTCATTGATATGCCAAACAAGAGGCTTGAAATAACGGGACATGCATTGATAGATTTATAGCTAGTTTTATTAAGTGAGACTAGAGCGAATCACTTCCTCCATTTGTTGAATGCACAAGTTATGAGAAATGCTTACAATATGCTCTTAATTGGCAATGGTTAGGCGAATTATAATAACTTTGAACTCTTTTTCACACCAAAAACATAGAATCATCAAGCCAATATGATAACAGGCATCTGGCAACAATCCAAGAGTCACTATTGGGGTTTCAATTATACATAATTGCTAATAGAAAAGAAATTGCTTTATGTGATGGGACCAATTATAAACGGAGGAGAAACTCAATGCTATATTAAATGTTAATGACAAAGGGGTGGCTTCAAACCCAATATGACCAAACATTGATGTGCGAGGTATTCTTTGTTGAACCAAAGATTGACAAATTTTTCTGTAGTTCACTATGTGAAATTTTGTTGAACTAAAGATTGACAAATTTTTCTGTAGTTCACTATGTGATATCTTCAATGGCATCATTCGAGTCTTTTTATAGAAATTTGTATCTTTTTTTTTATTATTTTTAATCTTTTTTGTGTGTGGCTCAAAAAATGAAGACAAACTTTGAACTATGAAGCAACTATAATGATATTCATCCAACATCAATTTGAGAGTTGCAAGTGAGTTTTTGATTTTTTGTAGCTTTCGACAAAAGATGCAATCACTCTATGCATTTAAACTAAATATTTGGGGAGGGTAAATCTCAAACCAAACCAAGGATTAACGATGTAATGGCGGTCTTTAGGATCGATGACTTATTTGACGATTTTGTTTTTCTGTCTTTTCGCGATGTGTACGAGTAGTGCGTGATCATGATTAGTAGGTATGCTTTCTTGATACTGTCTTTTTCATGTTTTTTTATAACTTCAGCTGACAAGACAAATAGATATTTAGAGAAAAATCGAAGGTGTTGTGTTGAACCTTGTTTTGAGGGCGATGCATGACACCAAGTTCAACTATCGTTCGATGAAGATAATGTATAGGATGTAATCCATTTAAGCTTTATGGCTTTCTATCATTTCTTTATGAAAGCTTCTTTAAAATAATTTAGGTTAAAAAAAACCACCCCATAATGCTTAATTAATAACCAAAAGTCACATGATTAATTATGTGCATTAATTGGAATTCTTATTATAGTAATTGAGTTTAGATTTGATTTCATAACTATTATTAATTATAAATTTAACTTGTTTAATCTAACTATGTTAAGTTTATTCAATTATTGCCCTTGCCAATTTGGGTCTAGCTCCTATAGTTAAGGGCTTATTTCTGTCAACTGAAGCTCTTCAATTGATTAGAAAATTAAGCCTAATCTTAGGGATGCAATGTTTTACCCCCAACTACATTAATTAGGGCCTTCAGCTTACATTAAGTTTTGGGCTTGAAGCAAAAGGTTGATTGATCCAACGTTAGAAATGAAGGCCCAAATTTTTTGGTTGCCAGCTTTTGATCAAGCCAACCAGGGTCTTGATTAATTAAAGTTATAGTTTTGGTTTACTTGTTATCCATATAATTAATCTATCATGGTAATCTTGATTTTTTGTTGAACATTGACCCTTGGAACTCTTACTATAATCAACGATCCTACAAGTTAATAGGAAGTACTTAAATTTATCTTAACTAGGCAAATAATATTATTGCCCATGATAGTTAGAATAAAAACTAAATGTAAATTTATAAATGTAAAGGTATTGACTTTAGAATTCTATGTTTCCACATTTTATATTTGTCCTACATTGTCTATATAACTTTCCTTACGTCAAACTGAACATGTTAAGTAAGTTGTTGGTTTATCAGTCCTAAAAGAAAATGCGGGGAAATAATTTAAAGTGATATGAATCAAAGGATGCACCATAGCTCAAATTTGGTGTTTGGAAAATAATTGGTTTAGCATTGTTAAGAGAAAAAATAGGAGGCCTACACCAAATTAAAGTCATATGAATCAACCTTTATCACTTCAAATGTTCTGTATTATCTTTTAAGAACCAGAGTTTATTTTCCTTTTCATTTCATTTTCAAATTGACCGTGTTTTCATGACTTTTTTCTATACTTTAAAAAAGGATTTTTTTAAGCTAAGAATAATACCATAAAAAAGCATTCTAGAAATCTCCTTTTAATTTTTCTAGTGCATAAAGCTTAGAACTATTATCGTTGAAACTTGAGAAGTTAAGTATCGAAGCACAAATTGATGCTGACAGTATTTGATCCCCGGAAATTGGGCCTCAAATTTCAATTTCTCTACTAACTAAATTGGCGCTCACTCCAATTAGAACTTGTATGGTAGAACCTTGGTTTACCAAAGGGTTCCAGTCATCAACAATATCGATTCAGTTTTTTCGTTCCACTTTGCCCTTTTTGTTGGAATTATATTTAGGCCGAGAGAGCTATTGTGTTCTTTTTTTTTTACTCTTTCCTCATGTAAACATGCTATTTCATACTAATGGGAGATGACCAATTCTTTTATTGCATGTTTTTGAATTTATTGTCTTTTCTTGAATCATTATCTCTTCCATCTGATTAGCCTTTTAATGTATGTAAACCTCAATTTGCATACTTTGTAACTTTAAGCAGCCTTTTCTAAAATTAATTGCAGATTTAGCAAGTCCAAAGGACTAATATCTTACATATTATTTTATTATTATTTTTTACATTTGTGTATTATTGTTCTGCAGCTTTATTCGATTTACTCCCATAAACTCTGCTTCCAGGATGGTTGTTTCATTTGACCTCTTAAATCTGATTCTGTTGTGCTGCTATTACCTTCTTTGGGTTAATAAGGGTCAGGCATATCCCTTATTTGGCACTTTGAAAAATCTTTTTTGATTTATGAATGTGCAGTGGATGGTTGATGAGAAAGAACTTAAAGTTATCCACTACACACTTGGGCCAATTAAGCCGTGGGACTGGTGGGCAGCATGGCTTGTGAAGCCAGTGGAAGTGTGGCAGGTGCTTTATCTTTATTATTGCTGATTATTGGATATTGGAAGATTTACATGCATACACTCAATTCTTATGTATTTACATATTCAACACTTTAAACTTAAATTTTTACATAGATACCACCTTACCTATGCATGAAAAGGTGTGTTTCACTTTTTAAAAGTCAAATGGTAGTATTTTTGATGTAAAATGAAAGATTTAGGGGGTATATTAGGTGTTAGATATGTAACTACTAAGGAATTAGTCGGTATGTATGTAAATGTCCCTTTATTATTTTATCTTATCATTACAATTTTTTCTTATATGTTCTTGTCCCCTTTTTTTGACTAGTTTGAGTCATTCTTCAATGCAAAATTCTTTTCTTATGCGGTGGAATCAAAATGACTCAGCTGATCATAGTGAGATAATTGCCACTATTTTTTATGAATTCACGCTGCAGAATGTTAGGGTGCAACTGAAGGAATCGCTTCCTGGAACTGGAGGTGGAACAAATCCTACTGAGAGAATGTTGATCAAGTTTTTGTTCGCATGTCCCTTATTCATTCTCTTGATCTGTTATTATAGGCCATGCCTTCAGGTTCTTATATTATATGTTTAGTTGTCACACATTTGAAATTTGGCAATCTTGGTTGTTTTTTTTAATAAATTTAAAGATTAGGATTTTCTTCTTCTGTGTCAGGCGAATGCTGAATCAGCATGTGGAAAACCTGAAAATGAGTTCCTATAGGATCAGGAGGCCTTAGGAATACCCGTTTCGACTTTCACACATATACATTTACATACACCACGCGCGTAAACCTAGCAATTGACGTCATCGACACTTACACACATTGCACCGACAATTAAACTAAAATTAATTTTCAAAATGATACGTCACGAACTTGAAATTCGAAGAAAACCAAAGTTGTCACCTTTTTTGGTCTGACCGTCATTGAACTTGTCTGGATGACCCCGGATGACGAAACAGACCACACAAACGCGTTCGAGACGTCAAATTTAGCTAAAAAGGAAACCTATATTACTATGGTTTCGCACACTCGCAAACATCATGAAAATTGATGCACATGAATATTTAATTAAGGGGTGCGTGTTTAGGCTCAGCCCGGGCTCGATTCAGACTGAACACGGCCCAATTGTACCAGGTCGGGTCGGTAACCCGCTTCTTAATTTCAAAATTCGAATTTCAAATTTCAAATAATAAATTATTTAATTTCACCTTAACTAATGAAATCAGGCATTAAAAATTTGTCTAATCAAACCGGCTGCATGAAGGGAATCTATTTAATTCCCCGTCTACTCTCGCGTAACGTCTAGTTTGAATATTACAACTACATAATTCGACGGGCTTCACCTTCCTGGCATTCTGCTCCCCCTGCTCGCCTCCTCTCCTCGGCACAAAAACCCCTGTTCTTCTTCGCCCGCTCACCTCTTCGCTGCACCAAAGCCCTCTCTCGCTCAATCCCGCCTCCTCTTGCTTACACAGAAGCAATCTCGCTCACCTCCTCCCTGCACCGAAGCCCTTGCTCTACTCGTCCTCGCTGCATCGAAACTCTCTCGCCTCTTCCCTGCACCGAAGCCCTTGCTTTGCCTCCCCCTCTCTCTGCTCTCCCTCTCACGAATGCTAAGAGAACCCTCCCTCGCCCGCTCACCTCTTCGCTGCACCAAAGCCCTCTCTCGCTCAATCCCGCCTCCTCTTGCTTACACAGAAGCAATCTCGCTCACCTCCTCCCTGCACCGAAGCCCTTGCTCTACTCGTCCTCGCTGCATCGAAACTCTCTCGCCTCTTCCCTGCACCGAAGCCCTTGCTTTGCCTCCCCCTCTCTCTGCTCGCCCTCTCACGCACGCTAAGCGAACCCTCCCTCGCTGACTAGCACTCGAGCCAGCAACAACTATTTCGACCCTTTTCGTTCGCTCAACTTCCTCACACAGTTGAAGCCCCTTTTTCCAAGGTTAAGGATTTACTCTATCTGGTATGCAAATCCTAACTGTCATTTTTGTTCTCTCTGAGGGGTTCCTTGATCTGAATGAAATTGGATGGTGTATTTCTGCGATGGATTTGTGAGGTTTTCCTGTGGGATGTTGTTCTTGACTGTGGTGGGATTCGAATTCCTCCAGATGGATGGGATTCGAGGGAAGTCATACGGTTGTTAAAGATGCGAATGATGTTTGCTTTCATTTATATTTCTTAAACATGAATGATCTTTTTTTCAAAACTCTCCAAAATCGAATTCAATGCGAGACCCGGATCGCTTACTTCATTTCTTCTGACGAAACTTCTTGATAAATTATTTTTGATTAGTAAAAAAAAGAGAGTACGGGTGGATGAAGAGACCGAATGAATTGAAATTTCTTTTCTTTTTTTTTTTCCTATTATTTCTCGGTCTACATCTGTTAGACCTTCTTTATCTCATTATTTCATTAACAGAAATCAAGATTGATGTTTATTGTCTTGCTGAGCATCGATTTTCATGGAGTTTTATTTAGTGATGCTCAAATCACGTTTGCAAAGGAGCTCTTAAATGGTTGCTTCAAACCCCTCAAATCCTCTCCACAGACATGCACTCTTGCTGTTGATCTAGGTTGTCAGGTTGGACGATTGTATTTACTGCATCATAGCTTTGGTGTTTTACCTCATTATGAAGCCGTCAGTACATAAACTTAGTGGCCCTTATTGAGGGTGCTATACATGCAAATGCGAAGCAGTTTGCTGTTTCTGTTAAAGTGGGTTGCCAAATGTAATTAGTAGATGCTTTGCTGCTTGGGTTGTTGCCCTAATCTATTTTGTGGTGTGTGTTGTCAAATGCAATGGGTAAGACCTTATCTGATTTGGAAACTTACATGCACTGCCGTTTGCCACCCACTTGGTACCTTGCATAATTGAGTTTTCATGTGCTCGATTCTATTCAGTTTTCGGCATTATCGGTAGCAATTATTGGCGTTATCCTTGGCAGTGATTGACCCATCTATTTCGAAAGTTTTGGTTATAGGATTTTATTGTTAACTATTAGCTTTCTCATACTTAACTTGAAAGAGGTAATGTTTCACAGATTTTCCGATAACAATCACCAAGCAATTGATGCTGCCTCTTTTTTTTTCTTTTTTTTTTCTTGAATTTGAGTCTTGAGCTGATCCGTTTACAATGTTTTAAATTGGCTTTAGACTTTTGAGGGATGCGGTGATTCATCATCCCCCTTTTAAGAAATTATTTTCTACACACAAACTTTGATAGTTTTCATTTTGGCATTTGCATGCATAACGCTCAATTCCTATATGTTCGCATATCTCACGCCCAAGTTTTTTTGAAATTCCTGGAAACCTTGGTTTTATGCAAATCTAAAGCTTATGTGAGTTAGCTATGCACAAACTTGAAATTTATGCAAGCTTGAAATTCATAGGAGCGGGTTTTATGAAAGAACCATAGATGTTTTCTTTTGCCCCCATATTTTTACTGTTTTGAGGTGAATTTAAGGGTTGTTTTGGAGTGTTTTGTGGGCTGGTTTTGAAGCAGCTTGGACACTGTTTTGGGTATTTTTAACACTGCATCGGGTTTTTCCCCCTTTTGCTTTTATTTTTTTGAAGTGGGTCGGTCTTCTCCTTTCTTTTGTTTTGTTTAGCTTCGTTTGTCTAATGGTTAAGTCAAAAATGAGAATTTTTTGTTTAATTATTTGGAAAACATTTAAAAGATATTTGATAATTAGTTGAAAAATATTTAATTGAAGGTAAAACACCTTAAATCACTTCAAGCTCAAGTTAAAGTGTAGGCTTCTTAAATCTTATAAGCACATCTTAGGTGAGAGTTCATCTACCTAATTTTTGAATGAATGACGAAACTAGACATTTGACATTAATTCAAATATTGATTAAAACACTAAACATGAGGATACACCAAGATGTGATTTATGACTTCTTTAATTAAATCAACCAGTGAAATTTCTGTAATGACTTAACCTACGGTGATATCTGATGCACCGGGATTTGAGCTTGAATATTACACTCAAATCCTTCTGATAATTGGGGATATTTGTTAATGCCACATATGGATCAGGGGACATTTGTTAATGCCACATATGAATCACCAGACTAGAATAAGTATAGGGTCTAGGTGGCGAGAGCGATGATAAAAGTGTTGTGTGCTAAAAGCGGAATTTAGAATAGTATCTTCTACTGTCGGCCGTTTTAATTTTGATCTTGAAAAATATAGGAAAAATATGAAAATAGTTTTGATATGAATATAATTTTTTAAAGTAACATTTTGATTTAAAAATAGGTGAGACCAAACAAGTCTCACATTTTGAATAGTTTAGGCGACTAAACAAGATACCACAAGTAATACACTTATCCCGAAGAATAAACATATCACCTACAGTAGACTCAATCACCTAAACTAAAGAATTTGTGACATCCATTTGGTCTGCAAAATATTTTATATAAGGCCAACAAGTTCCCCTATCTAATATAAAGATTAGATAGATTTTATTTTATTTGGGTTTCAAGTTCCCTATAGAGACAAACCCCTATAATTAATTACATCTTAAATGACCGTGGTTACTTAATAAAACTCTCGATTATGATAAGTGGTTTTACTTTTCAGATTTTAAAGTTTATGTTTCCACGATTGGACATGAGAAAATCAAATGAGAATGACTCAAAATATGAACAATTATCTTAAGAAATTCAAATGAATGAATAATAGGAGACATCACAGATCCAGGAGAAACCCCGGGGATGTCCCAACTATCATAATGTTCGGTTTTATGTCTTTGAAGTGATGTTGTTTAATGTTTAATCCTGCAATTTATTTAGAATTCAAGACTTATATTCGCACGATATCTGATCGTGCAAATATCCTAAAAAAATAAGAGAATTTATACCGTACCGTACGGTAACATCGGAATCTTAAAGTGTTAGGACTTATAATTGCATAACCAGAGTTGTGCAAAAGCCTAAAAGTGATATATGAGGGTTTACGTTGCACTAGACAAACTACCTCGAAATCTTAGGGGTTGTTATTTAAACTAAAGAGAGTGATAGTTGATGTGAATATGTTTTGATGTTATAGATCCATATTGAAGTTGCTCCTCGTCATGCTACCCACGATGTTCGCTCCAAACTATTTGTTGTAGCACCTCAAGGTTTGTTGTTAATCCTATATATAACCACTAGGTTTTCCTATACTAAGGTATAGTGTGTATCAAAACAAATAGAACATGTGATATAAAAGAAGAAAAAAATAATATTACATGCTTGGAGAATAGTATGACAGGCTAGTAGAACAATATACATGCCAGGAAAACAATATTACATGCTAGGAAAACAGTATAACAGGCTAGGAGAATAATATAACATGCTTTGAAATAAAATGCTGTAATGTAAATTAAACCTATATATTTGAGAGGATTGTTGCTCCTTTAAGCTTAGCTAGTATGTGATGTGTAAACAGAGAAAACAAAACATGAAAAACTTGAGAAAATCAACAAATCGTAGGAAAAAAGACAAAAAACAAAACAAAACACAATATCACATATAAAAGACCAAGAATATGAGATTTATATGTGATATTGGGAATGTCCCTGATTGCCAGGAGGATCTGAGTGTAAGATTCAAGCTCAAATCCCATAACATTGGGTTTCATTTTTTGTCAAGTTAAGACAAGAATTTCATTATTTGATTTAATTAAATTAGTCATGAATCACAACTT